CAGGAGAGGGGCTCCCCAAACCCCAACTGTCCCGCACACACAGCACTGCTGGGCTGCGGGAATGAGGTCACTCGCGGCAAGTTTAACATCAGCTTGGCAGAAAAAGGAAGTAAGGAAGGAAGCAGAATTCACTGGAGACAAACACCCCCTAAAATAGAAATGTTTCACTTGACGGGATGGAACATCTCAGTGATTTTGAGAAGATCATCCTTTAAACCTATTAACAGCACAGCAATAAAGCCGGCAGCCAATGTCAGCGTCACCACAGGCTGGAACCAGAAACAAGATCAGTGGCTGCATTCTGAAAGGCTTTTCCTTCTATACTTTCCTATATCACTCCAGTTTGACAAGCAGAAGGTGGCAAAACAACGCCAAGTCCACATTTCCACATTGCCCTGCAGGGGGTCAGCGAGGTACGGAGGGGCTGGCACAGCCGCGTCCTCATTGCTCCGTCGGGACGGACTGGGAATGTCACACTCTTCTAAAGACACCTATTGTAGTGTGACGGGATTTGGGGCACCAACTGCCCCGCACCTCTGGGGCCTCTGAGCAGGGTCAGGAGCTGGTCTGGGGGTCTGGGCACAGGGGATGGGGAGCCGGCTGTGCCCCAGCCCCCCCCCCAGGTTCCCCAGCCGAGGGGAGATGTTCATGGGCTCCAAACGTCTTCGGGGCGCAGCGGGAGATGAGAGCACAGGCCACAGAGGGCACCTCATGGTGCCACTCACATTTCAGTGGATGTAAAATAGCCTAAAACCTTCAACGTGGCAGAACTGTGCAAACACCCCTAACCCCTGTGCTTGCCCCCCCCGTCAGTGCACCAAAAAGGCAGAGCGCGGTGACACCTCCCGCCGGGCGGATCTCGCCCAGAATCCTCCTCAATTCGCTGGGGCATCTACTCCACAAGCTCATGGGGAAGAGAGAACCAAGATTTGAAATTCCTTGTTATATGGTAATGGTGACCTTGAACGGCAAGATTTCCGACACTTATCTTTGAAATAAAAACCCAGACTACGTTATATTCTAATAGATCATATTCAATATAATTTTGGTTATTTTAGAATTGAAGACTGAGTAACCCATGAAAATACTAAAAAAAAAAAAGTTATATTAAACAAAAATATGAGCCAGGAAGCAAAAATAGAGCTTTGCAGGTTTGCTCTATTTGCTTAAGGTCTAACACTATTAAAACTATTAAATATACATACGTTAGAAAACAAGCACTGCAAGAATTACAGTATTCTGTCTTGTATATCACCTTCCCAGGGTGCAAATTCACAGTCTGATGGATGATTAACATTAGGGAAAAATTATTCATCCGACTACCAGCAGGAGAGAGATAAAACGAACACAATATATTGCTGAATTTAGCCTTATAATCACAAGAAGAGTTTTTACAGATATATTGCAGCAGGGAATACTCCCAGCTTTACACACAGGAATTTCCTGAATCTAATATGTCATTTATTCCTGGCAAAGTCTGTCCTTTGTCTACATATATTTCATTTTTCCCAAACAGAACAGCACTAAGCTACATAAGTGCTGGACTGATTTTTGCCAGATTTAACTACTGTATACAGTAAAGCTTTACTAAAGCATTACATCTTTTTATCTGAGAGGTGAGCTAGGGGAGCACCTTAATCATCCTACCAGTGAGAAAGGACATTTCTGAGCCTACAACACGCCTCGCGTTAGAGCAATTCACAGGAAGGTTTACTCTTGAAGGTGCTATTTTTCACTTTGTTTGTGAAGATAAATAGAACAGAGTTGGGTGTGCTGACGAAGGGGATCTCTGTACAAGGGAAACGTGAGCTGGAGAGGATTTACTCACACGGCAATCGTCCCTTCAACTGTATCTTCCCCACGCCTTTCTCAGTACTATTTTTGACAGTCCTACAAAATTTTAGATGCTGCCCCAGGCCTTATTCCCCCTACAGTCACTAGTCCAGAGACTTCCACTCCTGTCACTTCTCTGATGAAGATTAGACTTCCTTTCACTCCTAACCTTGCAGTTCTCTTTGCTTTATCCTGCCGTTATCTAACTTCTTATCTGACTCCATTCTCTAGTGCTGTAAAAGCAACGGCGCCGTGACCCTTCATTGTACGGACACGGAGCCCGTGGAGCGGGACAGGAGAGGTGGAACCAAGCCTCGGCGTGAGCCAGCAGTAGCACGGAAAACAATATGACAAATATTTTCTTTAAAATTATTCAATGCTATTTAGACATTTCTACTTTACGGAGGAAGTTCTTTTCCATCCCCAGCGCCAGGCACTGGGAATGAGTCTGTGGCTCCAGGTGCGTCTAGGATTTGGGAGGAAGGGACCCCCCCGGCCCCTGTGACAATCCCGGGCTGCGGTACCAGCGCCAGTTCCACATCACAGAGCTCTGCCTCTGCCCAGCAAGTGCTGGGTCTGTTCCTCACCCAGCTCCTCTTCCCTGCAGCACCTCGGCACGGGGCAGAGCTCTCTGGGGATTCCTGGCTGAATTCTGACCCACGGGTCCCACACGCCGTTACCCAGAGCCAACAGACTGAGCATCACACCTGCAGCTCTCGCTTATTTCTCTCAGGCCGGCTGCCTGTAACACTCAGAAAAAAGCTAGACATCCCCCAGAATAAATAAATAAATAAAATTGTTTCAAGCACTTGTGTTGTTACCCCAGTGCTCTGCAAATGACGTACACTTTAACCTGGTACGTAGACAACGCATTTGACATTGTTTATATTTAGTAGCCTGGCCATGACACCGGTTTCCAGAACACATGCGCAGGCAACGGACACTTCTGTGAGCATAACACCTTCAATAACTAAGCACAACTAAGTCAGCTGCTTCAAATGGCAGATCTTCTTTTACAGTATTTCCTTTTCTGAGTATATTTACATAACACAAAAATAGACCTTTAATTTCAATAAATCACAAACTCTTCTACCGAATTTTGTAACGGAACTGGGGCATTTAAATATTTTCAAATAGTCTTTCACTATGAGGAGATGATTTCAGCCACCCCAAAGTGCCCCTTTTAGCTTCATCTGCTCAACAGACTAAAAAACACGCACCACAGAGGTGAGTATTTAAACAGCATCCCTCGCATTGCAAAGGAGATAATGTTTGAAATTGCTTCCTATATTCCCTTGCCTGTTTGTGGAGAAAGGTGCACAGCCGAGGTCCCAAGCATCTCGATCCATCCCAGACCCACCTCGTGCGCCTGAAACGCCGCCCATGGCAAACAGCCCCGGCCTCCCAGCACCGCTCGGAGGGCCCGGAACACTCCTTCAGAGATTTCTGAACTGAAACCACATTCTCATATTGCTGCTTGAATGGATTTTCCCTCAAAGTTGTAAGAATATTTTAAGCTTCAATGTATTTCTGCAACGCTATGTGGAGATTACACTGCACTTAAACCCAAGCACAGCCAGTTCATCAAATAGCTCTTTGGAAAGCAAGAATTTTATTTCCATGATTTTAATGGATTCAGGATTAGAACACTCTTAAAAAAAAAAAAAAATCTTTTACTTCATATGGAAAGATGTCAATGGCAGAAAAATTCATAAGCGTCGTTATGTTGAATTATTCCCAAACAAGGTTCAAAATTTTCAAATATGTCAGTGTCTAAACCTGGAGAACTAAATCCTTGTTTACTGTCATAAATGATTGGGCTGGATTTCAGAGATTTTGAGAAGTCTCAGTTATCTCTACTGTGTGCATTCCTCCGTAGACCAAGCCACTTGATTTAGGGAGCAAACGCGACACGTTGCCCACACGAAGATGACTTCCCTTTGGACAGGTACTGACTAAGGCTCTGCCATTACCGGGTGCCAGGCAAAAGAATGGTTATTAACCAGATTGTGGGCTTGCTTGGTTAGCAATGGAAAAGTGGGAGCAGCAGCCTGCATCCCGTTGCATTTTAAATATTATTCTCGGTCTCACCTTTCCTCTTGCACCTACTATAAACCCCCTCAGCTCGGACCCTAAAGTGGGAGGATCAAAGCTACAAGCCACTTTGAAGGTCCCCTCCCACCAGCGTATCTGTGCCTCTGGGACCGAGAGAGGCTGGGTGTTAGCAAAGTATGAAATATTTCCCTTTTGCTGTGCAATATGTGCGTGCAGTAACGCAAATAACAGGAAATATTCCTGTTAATACAGCACCATCAGCAAGTTGCTGCCCAGTTTCAGGTCACTGCCTGCCTGGGTCTCTGCAAAGTGCACTTTACCTCCTAAAGTCCATAATATTAACAACAGACCCTCGCAGGCTGCTGGAGCCTTCCAGCTACAGAAAACCATCAGAGGTTACGGCAGGGCCAGCCTTGCCGTCGAGAGAACCTGATCAAGAACATGAGTCATTTGTGCAGGGTTTGTGCCTCCGACAGGACAGAGAGGACATCCTGGGGCCACTGCCACCACTCTGCAAGCAAGGCCTGACATCTGCACCACTGCACAACCATCAGCACGCGGTGACATTAGCACCAGTCAAACAGCACTCACCCAGAGGTCCTCTGCGAAGCTGGAAGCCTTCAGCAGTTACTTCTCTTTAACACGATAATCTACAACTCTCTACAAAAGCACCTGAAAAGGTGGAAGGCACATTCTGCTACTGCTCTCATCACCTGTGCCTTTTTAATAACGGAGGGAGCTGCTAAATCAGCTGCAGCTGGCAGAAGGAACACCTGAGACAAAACCAGGGAGACAAAACCTTGGGTTTTTTTTCATTCTCCCTTGTGCCCGAGGCAACAGCGCACGCATGGCTCCCTGCCCACCCACTCACACCCTGCAGTCACACACCTTTGCCTCTGGAGATGGGTGTTTGTGTGTGTGGGAGGACGCGCAGGGATGAGGTGAGGTCTGGCAGAAGCACCGTGGCCTGCTGAGACCTCAAACCACACCTCGTGTGCCCGCCCCAGTGCTCGCTTCAGCCACGGGCCCAAACCGCCGCCTGTGTACCCCAACTCTCGCTTGCCCCACTCCCGTTCCACACCCCGATGGGGCCGCCTGCCCCACTTCCTCACCTGACCACGTTGGGGTGCTCGAACGTCTCCAGGTGCCTCAGAACTGCCACCTCCCGGATGGTGGACAGGGGCATCCCCTCCTCGCTGGTCTGCACCCGCACCCGCTTCAGCGCAACAAAGCGACCTCCGTTCTTCAAGTCTCGGGCTTTGAAGACCTTCCCGTAGGCTCCTTCCCCAATCTCAGCCACACACTCATACTGCTGGTCAGTCAGGGTTGTGCTGTCCTTTTCCATGCTGGCGCTGCTCCTCTTCCTCCTGGGCTCCGAGAGCCTCGGGGCAGCTCTCCGTCTCGCGTGCTTTCTGCAAACTAGCCCTTTGCTGGCGTTGCAGCTGCGCCACGCGCCGGGGACCTCTGCCAGAGGGGCAGTAGGAAGCTCGTGTCCTCCCGCTCCCCTTCCTCTTCTATACGGGCCCCAATGTGCCTCCTCTTTGGGTGACAGGGAATTATCATACAGGCTTTGGGAGCATCATCTGTGTAAAGTCAATTAGATCTGGAGGACAAACAAAGCAAGAGAAGTGAGTTTAGTTTACTTCATTACTTTGTATCGTTTAAAACCAGAGACAGCTAAGCTAATACAGTAGATAGCTACATACAAAGCAAAAACGTGGTGCAAAGGAAGACGTGAACCACCAGGGCAACACGTGTCTCAGGGTCCCTGCGTGCCTGACACGACACTGCGCAGTTATCTTGGGCTGCACAGGAGGCTCCAACACAGGCCTGGGGAGCAGCCACGTGCTGCGGGACTGTCCCGAGCAATGGGCTGAGCAGGACAACCCCGCGAGACACGGGTGGTGGGGTGGCAGAGCTCACCACGCTCCTGACTCCCTTCAGTGCACACGGTGGAGTCCTGAAAACGTGTCCCACGCTCTGTTACTGTTACTTATTTGTAAACCATCGCACTGGGAGGTTTCAGCCCTGGTCTGCTCTCCCTTGCACTAAGCCCTGCACGAACACATCGCAAGAGACAAGTTCCTGCCTCAAAGCGCCTGTGGGGAGGAGAAATACGCACATACTTAAATGACGGTAATAACACGTTACTGAGCCCGCTGGGCTAGAGGTAGGTTCAGAAACTTCACTTTAGCAAACTTCTGAACACGCGAGGGTTTTGGCTGCGGCTGCTGCCACGGCTGGATGTGTGGCGGGCAGCTCCTGGCAGAGCAGCGTGATGGAAGATGGTCTTCAGGAAAGCACGCCGTGCTGAGCAGCGCCCGAGGCTGCAGAGCAGAAGCGCTTCCTTCTGCGCCCGGTTTCACCCACGCTTTGTGCAGGACTGTGGGCAAATCCTCCCCCCGCACAAAGCCCCACATCGAGCCTCTTCTTTCCCCCTGCCCCTTTTTAATGTAATGATATTGCGACCTCCGGGGCTGTGACCCCCCCTACACCGCACTTTCACCGCGCTGGGACCGCAGAGCCCCGGGCAGCTCAGGCGGGAGCCCCTCGCGTGAATCCCCGCACAAAGCCACAGCCGCTGTGCACCTTCGCGCCGACCCGACACCTCAGCTGCAATGAAAGGCAGAGCGAACCGACGGGAGCCCCCGTCCTCCGCTCGTCCCTCTGCCCCTCCGCACCACCCTGCCCCGCTCACCGCCAGAGCTGCCACCGCACCGCCCCCTCCAGCCGCCAGCCCCGCGCCCCCCGCACCTCCGCGCCCGCACCCAGCCTGGAGCGCCGCGCCTTGTCCCCGCCGCCGC